GAGCCTTAATGTTTTATAATTGATGAGTAGAGTTACTATATTATACTTGAAATCAAGTTTTAAACATGTGATAACGTGAAACACCAGCTGTTGTTATATGAAGATTCGTTCTGTCGGTACAGGCCAACAATACAGATTTTTTTTTAATTTTTTTTTGAACACAAGGAAAACAATACAGATATAATATAAGAAAATAAGAGCATTTCCATTGAGTATCTCATGACAAAAATGAAGAACAAAATTAGAAAAAGATAAAAGAGATTGTGAAAATATCTCTAAATATATTTTTAAATACTAGTAAGATCTCTAGTGATAAATGTTAAATAGTTTATTTTTCTTAATATATTTAATTCAGTGAGTAAATCGTGCCAAAAACATTAATATATTTAAGTTTAGATCTCGAATTTGGAAACTATGCAGTGCCAAAAACATTAATATATTTAAGTTTAGATCTCGAATTTGGAAACTATGCAATGTGGATGCTCTAAGTGAATTAAAGATTGATAAAAAAAACAAGAATATGGACTCTTATGAGTAGGAAACAGAAATGTGATTGCTCTAAGTTGTCAAAAAAAAGATTAGATGGTCGAACCAACTTTCAATATCAAAACTTACAATCTGAAGACACAAATAAAATAAAATCATAGGTGAGAAAATAGAATCTTGTAGAAAAAAAAAAAAATCTATAAACCAGATTTAAGTAAGTAAGCAAATTACTTGTAGTTTCCAACCTCTACAATGAAATACCCAAAAGAAAAAAAAACTATAACAACAACATCAAGCTCCTTTCCTTTACTCTTATCTTTCTCTCGCCTGTTTTACCAACCACCTAGTAAAAAATCTTGCAACAATCCTTCTCTTTTCTACCGTATGAGGTTTCTAAATGCGTAGATGATTGTGCATACGAGTGGCCTCTTTATAGAACTCCCAATCTTCACTAGCTTCAGTAATAGCTTCTTGCCCAAAAGGGTTATTCTTGATGAAATCTTGAACGTTTTCAGCTTCTACTAACTTCTCCAGATGAAGTCTCAGATCACCACCACTACCTGTTTTGCACACAAGTGATGAATTTTCATAATTATACAAAAAGTTCTTACTAGTCAAGTATAAGGGGAAGAAATTGAAAGTTTACCTAAGGACGTGTCTGACTTGTTCTGATGGCTGTATGAGTGTGGGAATATCGCTGTATATGGCTGTAACATTTTGAAAGAGTTATTAACATGGACGAGACTAAAGAATGGTGTTCAAATGACCTATAAACTAAAGCTTACAGGGTTAAGCAAAGCCTTGTAAGGAGAATCATCTAGCAAAACCGTGTTGGTTTCATTGTAATCACCCTTTTGCCACGGAAGTTTTGGGTCGTGTTTCTCCCAGAGCTGGTTTAGATCCTTGAACACCACGTATTTGTGTTTATTTTCAAGTGAACCAAGAGTTGTTGTGGCACAGTAAGACATGTCCTGTAACAGCAAAAAGAATGAAAACTAGACAGAAAACAAAAACAGAGGAGGTCATTGCACGAACAAAACCTACCCAGCAAAACAACAGTTTACTCTTCATATCTCCGAGCAAGAACTCAGTGATTCTGTCCACATTGTTCCTGTAGGAGAAAAGAAAATGTTAAGAAAAAATCGATTATATGATTAGTGTGAAATAAAGAATAAAGAGTAATGTCATTACTTTTTTCTAGAGGACCAGATACCAACTTCAAACTTGTCAAAGCAGAACTTCAAGAACTCGTCACAATATGGTCTCTTAAAAACTGACATAAACAAAACAAAAAAAAAAAAAAATGCAGATTAATAAAGTCACTTTCAAATAGTACTGTGTGATAGACAATTAAAAAAAAGATCTTTGGAAACTTACTTGCTCTTCTTCCAATGTTAATATCAGCTTTACAATCTGCAGGAGGATTAACTATATCTGCAAGCAACCCATTCAGATCAAGAACTAGAAGTTTTTTCCTCCTTACCACCGATGGATTCAACACAATCACTTCTTTGATCTCATCTCTGCTTGCATCAACAGCAGATGTAACAACAGAATCTTCGTTGTTCTTCTCAAGCGCCAAAGCTGGAAGCTTTTCAGTGTTTACATCAGCACCTGAGACAACAACAACATCAACTTCTTCTAACTCCAGAGTTTCTTTTAGATCCATATGTTCTGTATCTGCTAAGCTCAGTGCAGCTGAAACTTCCTCTATCTTCTTCTTCTCTTCTTCTTCAACAACTACTTGGCCATTCTCGCTTCCATCAACACCTGATGCAACACAAGTCTCTTTCACAACAACATCAACCGCCACAGGTTCGTTTTGTGACATCAATGGAGCCTCTTCTACTACGTTACCAATCATTCTCGCTTTCTTTATAACAGATTCTTCCTCAACAGAATGTTCAATTGCTCTCATTCTATAGAAACTCAGAATCTGAATCACTAAGCTACTACTACTACTTCAAATTAAGCTCTGCAGAAGAACGTAAGAACAAATTAAGAAAAAAAAAATTAAAAACAACTAATGTAACTTTTTTTTTTTACAACTAATGTAACTTTAAATCACACAAAAAAAAGTATGAATCTTTCATGTTTTACCATGGTCGAATCAAAAGAATATTACTCATTACACAATTTGATCAAAATTCTAGAGATTCAATAACATTGGTTCTAATTATTGATTACAATTTAGATACGACAAAATTGAAATTTGGAGAGAGAGAAAGGAATTGGAGAGTTGACCTTGTTGTTGGAGAAGAAGAAGCTTTTGGAGGAGGGAAAGACAGTGTTTGTTGATGTGAATTTTATGATTTGAGATTTGGTTGGGAAGACGAAGAGATTGATTGATTAGTTATAAGTGGATCTCGGAGTTCTGAACTATAAAAAACGACAGCTGCTTGATGTCTTTTGGTCTTCTCCATGGACGTGCTTTTTAGTGGGGTCCTTGAATTCCGTGTTCGTTAGTTACCGGGTCCGGTTTCGAGCCGGTTTAATCCGGTAGGTTTACTTAATTTTCATTACCACTTGATCCATATTTAATTGATTTCTTAGGGGTAGCATATTTAAGAACCATATATTCTCTCATATATGGGGAGTGTGATATTAGTATTATCATATTTTTTTCTATATAACTTATACTCCCTCTGTATTTATATGTAAAATGTTCTAGATTTTTATCTTGTATACAAAAGATTGATGTTTTAAGATATAACTAGGATAAGACCTGCGTCTTGTGCAGGGTGAATATACGTAACTAAAATATAAAATTTTAGTATTGATAAATTTAAAATTTACATATAATTGTTTTTATATGTATTTGAAATTTTAGAATTTTTGAATTTTTAAATAATTATCTATACGTAGGATCAGAAACAATTGTAATTAGAACTGTATATCAAATCTTAAAATTTAATGGATCCGATTCCATATATCTTTTCACTTTTTAGTGTTAGAGTGATGGAAAATAAATAGAGTGTCATTGGGCTTGATTGGTAGAGTATTAGCAAATTTCCTAATGTATTTTTAAGAAGCAGTTGGTAAAATAATTGCATTTAAAATATATAAAGTTTCAAAACTAATTTAATATAATTTATTTATTTGTTTAATAATATTAGAAAACTATATTTTTTTACAAATTATTATTTTTAAATAATTTTATAAAAAATTAAGTTAAATTTTAAATTATTTTTAAAAACAATATTTTAAGTTTGTCAAAAACAAATAAAAAATTTTAAATTAATTATGGTCATGATTTAAATAACCATAATGATTTAAAAAATTAAAAAAATAAAAATTAACAAATTAAAAATTAACTCAGTTTTATATCATGATTTAACAATTTAAAAATTTAATTATGGTTATGAGAAGTTTACGTTCACGTGTTAATCCTATTTATCTTCAATTTTTTCTTTTGTTGTGTTTTTTTTATATTTTGGTTATTATTCGATATAAATATTGATTTTGAAGTTTATTCTCATTTCGTTTATTTGTTTTGACCTGGTATTTAGAAAATACTTAAGATTTAAAATAATTAAAAAGATACATACTTAGGTTAAGATCTGCACTTTATGCACAATAAGTATTTTATATTTATAATTTATTTTATAATTTTCTGCATATCATAAAATAATAAATATATATTACATAACTAAAAAATCAGTCACTATTATGTAATAAATTGGCGTATGCATATAAATTTAACTATCACTCTTGTTTATTCGAAATTAGCGTAAATAAATCAAAATAATCAATCTTATATATTGTATATGATATATAATTAAATTTAAATGATATAAACATAGTAATATGGCACACTTTTAATATTGACATTTATTAAATGAGGTTTCTACTCATATGATTTTATGAATATTTGCATATTTGTGTAACAAAACTTTACACCAACGATTTTTTTTAATGTGAGATGTTTAGTAGTTTCAATAATTTATAATCATTTTTTTTTTTAAAAATGACATATTTCAAAATTAAAATATTAACTTTTCAATATATGTTGAAGACAATCAAAATATAAGTATGTATTTTCATACGATTTATAGTTTAATTAAAAGATATGAAATATATATATATATATAAACTAAAATTATTTCTTCATATGATCTTATAATCATTATATTTTAATATAGAAAACAAATTAAAACCTTGATCCTAAAAGTTTATATGAGACTTTTAACAATTTTAGTCATTTATACTCATTTTGAAAAATTCGAAATACAACATACACGAAAAAATCTAGATTTTTATTATATGATTAATGTAATTGTGTAATTTATTTTAATAATAAATAAATAAACAAAATGAGAAAAAGTATACAGATTGTTATCAAATCTTTATTGTTTAAAATCATTAATTGTCATATATATTTTAATCAGTAATCACATTAAGTAATTCTGTATGTTTTATTTAAGGAAAGCATGCGAAACAATAAATATTTGATATATGCGACCAACTATAGTCTACGAAATATTATATTGCTAGAGAATATAATTTTTAGACTATATATTATATCATATGCTATAGAATCCTTGGGATTTGAAATAGAAGCCAAATAGATATGCCACATAGGATTGAAGTTATTTTTAATTCTTACAAATTTAAGGTTACAACTTTTTAAATGATTCTCAAATAATATATAGAGATTAATGCATTTGTCTTTAAAATTAAACTTAAATTAAAAGATAAAATTATGAGTGGTTGAACTTTATTGATAAAATCAAAAAACAATAACTAAACAAATTAATTACTTGTTTCTTAATATATGTACAAAACTTTAAACAACAAACTTTTAAATCCAGAGGGAGTATAGTATAGTAAGCATAGTAAAATCTTATACTAGAGCTATATGTGAATCTTCAGTATTATGCGTGCTAATCATGAACTTTCTACAAATTGGCTTATGATTTTTTTTTTAAAGCAAACAAGCTCTAAGGGGAAAATATTTGTATTTGTGCAACACTCATGAAAATATTATGCACTAACAGAAACACACATATTTGATGTTTCTTCTACCACAAGGCAAATAAGAAACCCTAACTGTACAAAATCCTAAACCTTAGCCGGAGCTGTGAAGAGTTATGAAGCTCTTGGAAGTACAGACTCCCAACGACCGTACTTGGAGCTGAAAGTGCCTCCACCATGCCGTTCAGCGTACTCAAGCATTGTAGCTCTCGCACACTCATCCCAAACTTTAGCTATTTCTTTAAGTGACATTGGTTCTGAATATTTCTCCATAGACAAACCAAACCTTGATCTGGTTCTCGCAGATAGATCCTCGTACTTGTGTTCACTGCAAGAAAACAAGATCAAAATATATATATTTTTAGTACCCTTTTTGTGATCAACTTCTACGAGTGTACTAAAAGTTTCATACCTGGCCGTATCAAAGAGGGTTTTCTCTAGAATTATTGGGGAATTTGGGTAACTCTCAGGAACTAGTAAGCTCAAAGGCTGAATCTGTGACTGCAAACATCAAACATGGGAAACATCATAAGCAGCTGATTAAAAAGACCAAAAGTTTTAGAGAGACTTACAACATGTCCTGAATTGTAAAGAGCTTTGAATGTGGAACAGAGAGCCACAGGGACATAAGAACACTTAACGACAGTTCCTGAAGTAACTTCACTTTGACTAACATCTTCATTGCATATACTCACCACTGTCTCAAAAAGTCTCCCATTTATTTCATTGATTTCTTGCAAGAGGGCATAACTAGGCTGCAAGATTCAGACATGGACTTGTTTCAATATTGCTTTTCAAATGTTTTAAGTTAAAAGAAAATTTAAAAGTCTCCATAGTTTATAATACCTCAATCTTGTTGACTTTGGAGGCAGATGATGCTGTGGAATCTAGAGGTATTGTGGTGAATGAGCGTTTAAATCCCTTGGTTGGATTTGTATCTCCTTGTTGCAAACGAAACCTTGTGATCTCACTCAAATCCTCTCCTAAATGAGCTCTAGATCCTCTCATGGAGTGGACTGAACCAGCAAACCTATCAGTTAAGCCAATGACCCTGCTCATCTCACTTACTGATTCTGCCAAGGATTCAGGTGATGATGATTGAATCTAGTAAAGCCAAACACACATTAACAATGAGATCAAGATAAGATGTAGACACTAAACTTAAGAATAGTATATATGACTTGTTGACTCACAGCTTTTATCAGACGATCAATAGGCTGCTCTGTGATTGGCTCAGGAGGAAGAGTAACCAGAGGAGGATGCTCCTGAGATTCTGTTTGGATTTGGTTGGCATTTGAATGAGGCATTTCTTGTAATGATGCTGAAGAGGAGGCCACGTTTTGGTCGCCTTCAAGGGACTGTGACATATGGACTTGATCACTTTGTGATTGTAATTCTGTTTGATGGATCTGAGAAGGAAGGAGATGGACTTGTCTCTGCTGCATTTTCCTTCGAGTCACGTTCTTATGAAACTCGTTGAGCTTCAATGTATGTTTCTCAAACAGACTAAACTTATCTCTGTGAAACTCTGAGACACTGCTCCTAGAGACATTTGAGAACAAAAGTAACTGTTCCAACATCGCTATGGCCTTCCTTTTTGCAACCGGCTCATGTGGCAATTTCTCCCGAAATTTATCAGAATATTCTTGGGACATTGTACTCAGAACAAGTGAATACTTCTCCTTGAGAGCTTTTATCTGCAGGAGGAAGTTGATGGAAAGTTTTTGAACTATCAAAAAGACAATGGATATATGTTTCATAAGTTAAAACATAGTTTAATGTTTGTGATCATGTTAAGATACCTTCTGATAGGTCTCTTCTCGCCAGTCACCACCACTGGTACTTGATGGATTTTCCTGATCTGCTCCCTGCAGTTGATAAGGCTGATTTTGTTGGTCTGCTACGTTCTGCCTTTGGTGCAAAGAACCTTCTGCTTGAAACCTTTGTGTATCATCATCCAGATGTTGCTGTAATATTGTACAATGAGACTGCTGCTGTTGTTGCAGAAGATTATTTGGTTGTAGCATCATTGGTTGAGATTGCTGGTGATGCCAAGCCTGATGCTGCATGTTCGGAAGCTTCTGAACCATCTGTTCACTCATTTGAATGTTTAGATTCTGAGCTGCAGAAACGGTTACAGGAACCTGAGTGGGCAAACCAGAAGAGTCAGGGATATTGAGATTGCTCTGAGGTAACCGTTGTTGGCTTGTTGGAATCTGTGTATATGGCAACGAGGTGGGAAGTGATAGTCCTTTAGCTTCTGTACAGATTAAAAGGAAACTTGATAAGCTAAATAAACTCTGTAACAACAGAATCATTTTCAAAACTCCAATTACTTAAATGATCTGAAACAGTTATAGACAATATGATGTGAGTTCTGCTTATAAACCTGGACCTGGAGTAGTATAAGCTCCATTGTCTGAAGAAACAACTCTGAGTTTTCTATCGCAATCAACAAGTTTTCTGCTGATTTTCCGCAAGTAATCATCCTGAGGAAAAAAAAAAAGATTATAGCAAAGTATCTTCACAAGGTTTTTGTAATAATTTGAGTTACCTTATCTTTGGCCAGACCATAGATCCTATCCTCAAATTTGGTAGCTGACTTCTTAATATCGTTTTCACTTAGTTTAGGATCACATATCTTCAACTTTCCCACTCTACACATACCCCCCCATGAGAAACAAATAACATGCAAGAATCTAGAGTAGTCTCTAAAGGTCGAGAGCTAGATCAAAATGTTTTTTTTTAACTGTTGCAGCGTTTAGGAATCTGTAATCATATGAAAAGATTACAAAGATCACTAGAAAGAAAGGCTTACATTGCGTAAATAACCCTTTCTCGTAGATTAGGTTCATGCTGTGTTCTCCAATCATTAGCAAGCGAATCTCCTCCTTGTTCGTTAGGCTTCCCATTAGAACTTCCCTCCATTGAATCTAGCAAAACAAGAAATGATCAAAAAACACACAAAAATCAAAGAATCATTGTTGTTAGTATCATCAAGAAATCATTAGATGTAGGACCTTAAGTGCCGTTTCATAAAGATTAATAATTGCTGTTCAGTAGAAAATCCTTAACCTCCACATTTTGCATACAATTCAAAGTAGCGTGACAAGCAAGCAACTTGCAAATGTGTTGCTATCTAAAGAAAAGAATACAAGAATGATAAATCGCAACTCACAAAGAAGACTTTAACCCTCGAGACACGTCGGAGATCGCGGAGGGAGAGAGTGATCGATGAATTGAGGAAGAAAGGAATCAAGACTAGGTTAAAGTTTGAGAAAGACTCGAAAGTTTTCTAGAGAGAGAGTGAGAGTGATTGAAGAAAGACTATTACGTAAAGAGTCTCAGTAAATTAGTCTCTGCTTTTCGTATTAATCAAGTTTTTTTTTTCTTTCTAAAAAAGCCTTTTATTTCCTGCAGTTAACAAATTCAAATGTGTATGCATTTACAAAAACATACATATTTGATGTTTCTTCTACCGCAAGGCAACTAGAAAACCTAACTTAGGCTTTAAAGTTTCCACCTCTGTACAAAACCATAGACCTAATCCGGAGAAAGGAAGTATTTGTGGCTCATGAAGCTCTCAGAACAGACTCCTAACGACCATACTTGGAGCTGAAGGTGCCACCGCCATATCTCTCAGCGTACTCAACCAGTGTAGCTCTCGCACACTCTTCCCAATCTTTAGCTATTTCTTTAAGTGACACTGCTTCTGCATATTCCTGTGTGGACAAACAAAACCTCGTTCTAGCTCTCGCAGATAAATCCTCGTACTTGTGTTCACTGCAAGGAAAAATAAATATGTAAGATTCAAAACATATACATCTAGTTTCCTCTTATGATCAACCAACCAACTTCATACCTAGCGCCATCAAAGAAGATCTTCTCTACAAGTATTGAGGAATTTGGATAATTATCAGGAACTAGTAAGCGTAATGGCTTAATCTGTGTCTGCAAATATCAAACATAGGAAACATCATAAGAAGCTGCACTAGTAAGAGTATAAGTTTAGAGAGACTTACAACATGTCCTGACTCGTAAAGAGCTTTGAATGTGTCACTCAGAGCCACAGGGACATAAGAACACGTGATGACAGTTCCTGAAGTAACTTCACTACTCGGACTAACATTTTCATTGCATATACTCACTACTGTCTCAACAAGTCTCCCATTTATTTCAGTGATTTCTTGCAAGAGAGCATAACTAGGCTGCAAAAGATTTAGACACATGTCCTTATTTAAATTATAACTGCATTTTGTTTTCATGTTTTGTGTAAGTTAAAAAGAAATTTTAAACAGGCTTCCACATTTTTACCTCAATCTTGTTAACGCTGAACTGTTTGTGGCTATCAGTTTCTGAGGGCATAGAGCGCTTAAATCTCTTAGTAGGATTTGTATCTTCTTGTTGCAAACGGTACCTTGTCCTCTCACTCAAATCCTCTCCTAAACGAGCTCTAGATCCTCCAGTGGAGTAGACCGAGCTCATCTCACTGGCCGATTGTGCAAGAGATTCTGGTGATGATGATTGAATCTAGCAAAGACACAAACACGTTAACAATGAGATCAAGATTTGCCAGATGCGTTCTGTGCAGTTGATAATGTCAAAATACCTTCTGATAGGTCTCTTCTCGCCAGTCACCACCACTGGTACTTGATGGATTTGTCAGATGCGTTCTATGCAGTTGATATGGCTGATTCTGTTGGTCTGCTAGGTATTGGCTTTGGTGAAAAGAATTTGCTGCTTGAAACCTTTGTGTATTATCCAAATGTTGCTGTAATATTGTACAATGAGACTGCTGCTGTTGCACATGATTATTTGGTTGTAGCAGCATTGGTTGATATTGCTGGTGATGCCAAGCCTGATGCTGCATGTACGGAAGCTGCTGATCCATGGTGTTGGAACTCTGTTGAGGCTGCTCAAGAATATTTGAATGAACTCCTTGTTCACTCATTTGAATGTTTAGATTCTGAGCTGCAGAAAAGGTTACAGGAACCTGAGTGGGCAAACCAGAAGATTCAGGAACGTTGAGATTGCTCTGAGGTAACCATTGTTGGCTTGTTTGAGTTTGTGTATATGGCAACGAGGTGGGAAGTGATAGTCCTTTAGCTTCTGTAAAGATTAAAAGGAAGGAAACTTGATAAGCTAAATAAACTCTGTAACAAACAGAATCATATTCAAATTAGATTGCCAACAATAGTTCAATAACTTAAATGATCTGAAACAGTTTTAGACATATGATGTGTGAGTTCTGTTATAAACCTGAATCTGGAGTAGTATTAGCTCCATTGTCTGGAGAAACAATTATGTATTTTCTATGGAAACCAAGAACTTTTCTGCTCATTTTCCTCAAGTAATCATCCTGAGAAAATAGGAAAAAAAAGATTTAACTAAGTATTTTTCACAAGGCTGAGAGGCACTATTCATCTCCCTATTTGTTTTTTTGGTTACCTTATCTGTGGCCATACCGTAGATCTCATCCTCATATTTGATAGCTGTGTTCTTAATAACATTTTCACTTACTTGATGAAAACATATCTTCAACCTTTCCACTCTACACATACCATAACAACAAATAATCAGCTAGAGTAGTAAGAATCTGTAATCATATGAAAAGATTACAAAGGTCACTAGAAAGAAAGGCTTACATTTCGTAAATAACCTTTTCTCGTAGATCAGGCTCATGCTGTGTTCTCCAGTCATTAGCAAACGAGTCTCCTCCTTGTTCGTTTGAACTTCCCTCCATTGAGTCTATACTTAGCTATAAACACACACAATCAAGAACCATTGTTAGTAACATCAAGAAATCATTAGATGGAATTCAATAGTAACCCTTAACCTTTAGTTATATGCGAACGGATAATTAGTGACCCATAAACATCAGTTTTCGAAGTAGCGAGACAATCAAGAAACTTGCAAATGTGATGCAATTGAGTAAAGAAAACTTTCCTCCATTGAGTCTACTTAGCTAGCAAGCAACAAGAAATGATAAAAACACACACAAAATCAAGAATCATTGTTAGTAACATCAAGAAATCATTAGATGCAATTCACTAGTAACCCTTAACCTTTAGTTATATGCGAACGGATCACTAGGACCTTAAAGCATCAGTTTTCGAAGTAGCGTGACGATCAAGAAACTATGCAAAATGTGTTGCTATCGAGTAAAGAAAACTTAGGAACATCGAATAAAGAAACGAGTACAAGACAGAATAGAACGCAACTCACAAAGAAAGACTTTAAAACCCACGAGACCGTTGGAGATCGATGAATTGAAGAAGAAGGAATCAAGAATAGGTTTAAAGTTTGAGAAAGACTCCAAGGGTTTTAGAGAAGGAAAGAGAGACTATTATACGTAAGAGTCTCATTATAAATAGTCTCTGCTTTTCGTTAATCAAAGTCTTTTCTAATTTCATTCAGTTACCAAATTCGAATGAAATGAAAGAATCTGTAAAGTATATGACGTAACAAGTTTTCATGTTTGATTCCATAATTTGGCATTAAGAAACTATAATTCAACCATTATAATATTATGGAAAAATTATGCATTTACAAAAACAATACATATTGATGTTTCTTTTAACACAAGGCAAATAAGAAAAACCTAATTTCGACTCTAATGTTTCCACCGATCTGTACAAAACCCTAGACCTTATGAAGTATATTAAGGGGCTCATGAATCTCTGAGAACAGACTCCCAACGACCATACTTGGAACTGAAAGTGCCTCCACCATGTCTCTCAGCATACTCAACCATTGTAGCCCTCGCACACTCATCCCAAACTTTAGCTATTTCTTTAAGAGACATTGGTTCTGAATGTTTCCTCATTGACAAACCAAACCTCGATCTGGTCCTTGCAGATAAATCCTCATACTTGTGTTCACTGCAAGGAAAATAAGATCAAAACATTGTATACATATGTTAAGCTCCCTCTTATGATCAACTAAAGGTTCATACCTGGTGGTATCAAAGAGGAGATTATCTAGAATTATCGGGGAATTTGGATAATTCTCAGGAACTAGTAAGTGTAAAGGCTGAATCTGTGACTGCAATATCAAACATGAGAGACATCATAAGCAGCTGATTAAAAGACAGACAAGAAGATTACATTTAGAGAGACTTACGACATGTCCTGAATTGTAAAGAGCTTTGAATGTGGCACTGATAGCCACAGGAACATAAGAACACGTAACGACGACTGTTCTTGAAGTAACTTCTTCACTTTGACAAACATCTTCATTGCATATACTCACTACTGTCTCAAAAAGTCTCTTATTTATTTCATTGATTTCTTGCAAGAGAGCATAACTAGGCTGCAAGATTCAGACGTGGCCTTGTTTAGATTCTGCATCATGTTTCCATGGTTCTATAAGTTTAAATAAAAATTTACAGGCTCCACATTTTACCTCAGTCTTGTGGCTATGATCAGTTTGTGATGTGATATCTAGAGGTGTTGCTGTAACTGAGCGCTTAAATCTCTTTGTTGGATTTGTGTCTCCTTCTTGCAAACGAAACCTTGTCCCCTCACTCAAATCCTCGACAAAACGATCTCTAGATTCTCCAATGGAGTAGACCGAACCAGCAAGCCTGTCACTCATGGTGATGACCGAGCGCATCTCACTTACTGATTGTGCCAAGGATTCAGGTGATGATGATTTAATCTAGCAAAGCCACACACACATACATTAACAATGAGATCAAGAAAAGATGGAGACACTAAACTTAGAATAATATATATGACTTCTTGACTCACAGCTCTTATGAGACGATCAATAGGCCGCTCTGTGATTGGCTCTGGAGAGGGAGTAACCAGAGGAGGATGCTCCTGAGCTGGTGTTTTGTTCAATGGTGTAGGAATAGTCTGCTTCTCCATCAAGTGAGGAGAAGAGGATGTACGTGCTGGAGAAGCCAGTGTCTTTGGAAGCTGGCGCTGACTCGTTGAGAGATGTTTCTGCTGAAGCAACTCAGATTTACTGTTGACCCTTTGCCTCATCCTAACATCATTCATCTCATTTTCCGGTTTTTGAAGCTGCTGCTGCTGCTGCTGGTTCTTTTGTGGTTCTTGCTGCGGCCTCTGCAATAGCTGTTGATGAGCTGGGCTGATAGTAGAGTGTATGACCAGCTGTGGCTTCTGTTCAAGAGAATGTACCATGACATCTCCTGATGAGGACATAATGTCATCTTTTGGTTCCATCTTAGGCCTTGTCTTCAGGCCAGGTACTGAAGATAAGGGCCCGTTTTGGTGACTTGAGTTCATTTGATGTTTGTCAAGGGAATGTGATGCTGTTTGATTGATCTGAGAAGGAGGGAAATGCACTTGTTGTTGCTGCTTTGCACTCTTAGTTTTAGTGAAATTCAATACATGTGCCTCATATACACTAAACATATCTCTGTGCTTCTCTGATACACTGCTCCTACTGACATTTAAGAACATAAGAACTTGTTCCATCACCGCTCTTCCCGTCCTTAGCTTTTTAACCCACTCAGATGACATCATCTTTTGTTGAGGATGAGAATCAACCTGGAAAATATATTGTTTTATTATTATTTGTTACTTCTTTAACAAGAAACAATTAGGTTATGAGTGAAGTATATACCTCTTGCACTCTATCAGATAGTTTTTTGAACAATGCAGTCAGAATAAGTATATACTTCTCCCTGAGAGCTTTTATCTGCAGGAAAATTATTAAATTTTTTTTGAACTATATTACAATGGATATGTTTCATAGGTTTAAAACAAATATATAGTTTCATGTTTGTGATGTTAAAATACCTTCTGATAGGTCTCTTCTCGCCAGTCATCACCACTGGTATTTACCACCTTGCTTGTAGCATCTTGAAAAGCTACAAAAAAAAATAATTGGTATTAAACTCATAAATAATGAAATATATATTAATTGATGCTACCAAGAAAAACATTATCATCCAAGTTGGTAAGAAAAGAAACATACTAGATCGGTTTGTCTGATGGGCTGTTTGCAGTTGATATGGCTTTTTCTGTTGGTCTGCTAAGTTCTGGCTTTGGTGCAAAGAATCTGCTGCTTGAAACCTTTGTTTATCTTCCAAATATTGTAGCATCCTTGGTTGATACTGGTCCACCTCTTGGCCTTGAGTACCAAGAAAACTTGATCCATGCACATTAAAGCTAGCCATATTCTTCTGCTGAGAGGTTCGTTGTTTCTCCCCATTGTTTTGTGGTGATGTTAGATGATTCTGTTTCTGTGACGGCACATCCATCTGCTGTTGATGACTAGAATGGACCCGCTGTGTATGTCTTGGCAAGAACTGAGAGTTTTGTTGGCTTGATGATGGTTGACTAGAAAGAGCAGAAGACTGAGGAAAGGATTGCTTAACAGGAGATAGTGATGTATGATGAGGCAACTGCTGTTGTCTTAACAAACTTTGCTGGTACATGGTGTTAGAACTCTGTTGCTGCTGTTGAGGATGCTGAAGAAGCTGTTGCCTTCCCTGAATCTGTCTTTGAGTACGGGGACCAAGATTTGATGCAACTCCTTCACCCATTTGAATGTTTAGATTCTGAGCCGCGGAAACGGTTATAGGAGCCTGAGTGGGCAAACCAGAAGAGTCAAGAATGTTCAGATTTCTCTGGATGTTGCTTTGAGGTAACCGTTGCTGGCTTGTTGGAGTCTGTGCATATGTCAACGAGGTGGGAAGTGATTGTCCTTGATTCAGAGATTGAGCTGCTGTACAGATTGAAGACACCAAAAGAAAACTTCATAAGTTAAAGAAAAAAAACTGTATGAAACAGTAAGGTTTTCAATTTTTTTAGAGTAGATTGACAACAATAATTTGCAACTTAAATGATCTGAAACAGTTCTAGACATAGGGGATGTTAGAGAACCTCCATTGGGGGTTCTTACGACGAGGTTCTTATATTCCGCTAAAAACCACGCCATAAAAACCCCTCATTGGAGATGATCGTAGTTCTAACATGATCTATTTTTTTAGGTAATGCACACACCAAGTAAGAAGTTCTAGTCCAAAGCTAAATTATAATACTGAAACCAAAATAACAATAAAAATCTTATAAACCTGGATTTGGAGAATGAGCTCCATTGGCTGAAGAACCAGTTGTGAATTTTCTAATGACAGCAAATACTTTTTCGCTGATTTTTCGCAAGTAATCATCCTGAGAGATAAGAAAAAAGATCAAGCAAAAGTATCTTCACAAGGCTGAGGTCTATTCTAGTCCTATTTGTATTGTTGAGTACCTTATCTTTGGCCACACCATAGATCTTATTCTCGAATGAGATAGCTGTCTTGTTAAGACCATCAATGTGAGTAGGAAAACACATATTTAACTTCTGCACTCTACACATACATGAGAACATATATTAGTAGTACAACAAAGACATGTAAGTTGAGCTAGAGAAAAAAAAAAAGGTATCTCTAAAGTAGTTATTATCAATTTAAGAACAAAGTTACTGAAATTTTTTTAATAACAGTAATAACAAACACACAAGTAAGAAGGCTTACATTGCGGCAATAACCTTTGCTCGTAGATCAGGCCCATGCTGTAATCTCCAATCTCCATTAGAATGTCCATCCATTATGTCTCACTTAGATAGCAACAAGAAAAGATCAAATACAATTAACTAGTAATTATACTTAACCTTCTTATTAGCTAAAATTAATCTCGCATATTTTTTGGTGCTAACTATGCTATAAAATAAAAATCATATTCTTCCCTTAGTCACCTAAAAGCATTAGTATTCGAGTTGGCGTAACGATCAAACAACTTACAAGTGTGTTTCTAGTAAGATTAGGTTAAAGAACTAAACCAAAACTAAACCGATGCTTTGATCACATTAACACACAAAAAAAAAAATTACAAGTCAGACGCGTAACACGATTAGTTTAAGAACATCAAACGAGAAGACAGAACTAGAATGATAGAACCCGTGTTTGGTTTCACAAAATAGAACTGAGATTAATAAGCAAAACTCACCAGGAGAAAAAAACCCACGAGACCTTCGTAGATTGCTGAAGGAGGGTAATCGATGAATTGAGGAAGAAGTAAATCGAGAGTAGGTTTAAAACTTGAGAGAGATTCGAAGGGTTTTTAGAGAGGGAGAGAGGGGAAAAGAGTGGCGAGGTTGATAGAAGAAAGACCCACACGTAGGGATCTTAATATATATTTTAATATATATATATATATATATATATATACAGTATATACAGTCAGCTTTTCGTATTAATCAAGTTTTTTTAGTTTTTTTTTTTAGTTTCATTCAGTCACCAGATTCGAATAAGGAAATATGTGAAGTATGACGTTGACTTGGCCAATCACAGATTCCTACATCATTGCTATTTTTTCCATATTTTGGAAATAAATATTTATGATAGTTTGAACATGAACTTAATTCTCATGTAATTGGAGAGAAAAAAAGGTTCAATATATTGCAAGGAAATTAATTATTTACTGCTTTAATCAATTATATTAAAAGAGAAGTCACAACTTCTATTGATGTGTGATATTTTTTTAAAATAAACATTTCTTAGAAAAACTTATTTCATTAATTTCTTATTAACAAATTGACATCATTAAGATATCACATCTTATTTAATCAACACATATAACAACGTCACCTATAAAATTGTTTTAATTTTAATTCTAACTATATAAATTCTGTTGAAAAAGAATATAACAAAATCTTACAAAACAATTTAATTTTTTATATAATAATGCATTAATTAATTTCGTAATTAGTAGTCTAAATTATTTGAATATAACAATATAATTATTTATAAAAAAATTCTATATACTAAAGTTATAGATGCTAAATTATATATTTTAAACACAACCAAGAAATTCAAATGATCCTAAACAAATATATATTCTATTGTATAACTAAATATAATTTAGAAAAATATTTTTCTTGCAAACTGTAGAAAAATGTATAAAACGTATAAAAATATCTTGAAAGGAGTCACCTATTTGATTATTTCAAATTATAATTTATTGTACCGAATTGAAATTATTTTATTATGCAATAATATTTTATGACAAATTAAAATGTATAAAAATATGTATGGATTAATAATGTCAAATAAATAAAACAATAAAATTATAGAATTACATTATATATAGCATTAAAATGAAAATCATATATTTAAAATATTTACGATAATATCAAAGTTTATACATTTATAAGATAGGTAGAAAAAAATATTCAATAATAAAAAAAGATTAAAATCTTTGTTAGAATGAGAAACATACATATGTTTTTTTCCCAAGAAAATATATGTTTTATGACTTTTGAGAACAAGATAATTGAATTACTAATTAGTAATAATCCATTTGATATTGACATACTATATTTTCCCATTTATAAGATGTATGTTGTTTTAATAGATAAGAAGATTTCTATATTATGTAAATCCCAATTTAAATTTATATATGTTTGAATTACATTACATAAAAACTTCTGTTCTAAAAGTATACCTTCAAGTTTAACATATTAAAAACAAAAATAAAATATTATTTTGTATTCAATCATTTATTTTATCATTTCTATAAATGTCTAATACTAAATTCTTAAAGATGGGTGTATATGACTATTTTAAATTTGTCATAAAATTCAAGAAAAATTACTAAACAAGAATTATTTTCTTACTACTGTTTATAACTTAAAATGAAATTAGATCCATTTTATTAGATTTAACAATAGAGAAAGAAATATAAAATAGTTTGCAAATTTTTGGAACTTTGCATATATTAGTTTGTCAAATAGATAAACAAAAGTCCAACAATATATATTTATATATATATATATATAATATTAAATAAAAAAATTCATGTGAGTTTGAAATAATTAGTTAAATAAAACAAACAAACTATAAAAATTTAGGTGTTTAAAATGATATAAATAATTAAAAATATATATATTATATACATAAAATAAAAATAAACATCTGTACGGTCGTGCGGCCAGACTCTAGTTATATATTATGACAAAAGGTAGTTATGATATGCTGAAGAGATCTGTGATAGGCCAAAATACTTAACACATGAAATCTTTAAAAAAAATGGGTCATTAGAAACTAGAATTCAATCTCTAACTTACCTATACGCTCGCATACAAAACATTAGTCAAATCTTAGAATGGAAACTGAAACTGGTTAAAGGTTCTGCAAAAACTTTTTGTGAAAACACAATTAAATGTGGCTCAAGAGACTGTGAGAGTCAGATTTTTGTGAAAAGAAACACTTGCCTAAACCAGACGAATTAGTCTGGTGGTAAATGGTTTGCAGTGGCAAGTATGGCTCCGGGTTCGATTTGTACTGATTACGGTATGATTTAGGCATGTTTGCATGGATACATACGCAGACTGGTACCAAATTTAGGGGGATTAAAGTCGAAGACCGAATCCATCCTAGCAAATCAAAAAAAAAAAAGAACACTTGCTAAGCAGGGATGAAGTTAGACAATTTATCTAGTGGGTGCACTATCACTAATAAAACAGAAAAGATAGAGAAGAAGTAACTGAATTATCTATAATTATTACGGGTGCAGATACGTCCCATATATAGTGTATAGTTTGGCTTTTGCCCCTGTAAATAAAACCTAGGGTTTGTGCCTGTATTTTGTTCATTGGCTTCTCTAAAGGAACAATCAAAAGAAATTATCGTCCCTGCATTCTAAATTGCAATTCGTTTTCAGATTGCGAGATCAGTAGGACCAATATTTTTTCTATTTTATATATTTATCTTCGCTTCAAGTATATGAACAACCAATCGGTGTAATATGCAGTTTTTTTACTAAAAGTAATATGCACTTTTGTATTGTTATAACGAACAAAGTCTATGGGTATACAACCTTTTGCTGTGTGGGCCGAACAAGATTTATGCAATCAGAACTGCAGATAATTAGACAATGGCTTTGTTGATGTACATAGAGAGAATATAGTTCATTAAATTTAATATAGAAGGTCAGGTTATTTTAGAGAAACGGAACATTAAATCAGATGATTAAACATGCTAATTATACCTTTCAAAATGACCACGGGTCTCTTATATAATTTTTAGTCTAGATGTAAAATTTAGAGAGGGATATCATTAGAAATAAATGTTTCTGTAATAAAAAACTCTATCAAATCTTAAACAATTACTTGAAAGTCGTTATACTTCTAAAACTTTTTTTAGATCCAATAACATTAATAATTATTTTGACCACGCAAATAATCACGTCACTTAGCCAACAGAAAAGGAGGCCACATTGTGAAAATAATCATGAAATTTATTAATTTGTTTTGTTATAGTTGGATAAATTTAGTATGTTTCTACATACCATATATACCAAATGTTTTGGTGTTAACATTCAAACCATCTAAGTTCTCAAAAAACAAAACATTCAAACCATCTTTGACAAAAAAAACATTCAAACCATGTATACTCTCATCTGCCCATGGCACCCTTCCCCATTTTCTTCTAGTCATCCTATTTTAAAAATGTTCTCGAGCCTTGTGATTTTCACGCCAAGATTGCCTTTAGAATTGGATACCAAATTTTCACATGTAGTTTTCCTTCATGTTAAAAAAAAATTCACATGTATTATTTCACATGAAGTATATGTCACAATAGCATGTTGCCGTTCCTATAGCTAACGTTTTTTATAAAGAAAACTAATTATAGTTTGTAGCTACTAAACGTGGCAATATAAAGGCTGATATAACAAAAAAAAATAGAGTTGATATTTTTCCATATTATATGTATAAGATTGAAATAAAATGTTTACGTAGTTTTTATTAAAAGGAGATTTATGTTCGAAAATCTGTTTTCTTTGTAAAAATCGAATGAATTAATATAGGAAAAGTTGCATTTTACTTCATCAAGTTGGTAAAAAATTTGCATAGTAAACTTTCGTACTCAAACGAACACTTTAAACAATAAAAGGTGTTTTAATAATATATTAATCATTAAAACTAATTTACTTGTTCGTCACGTTAAAATTGTGATCACTTTACTAGAGATAAAAATAGATGATGTGGCGAATTTTTCTCTTTAATTTTTTTTAGTTAACTAAGTTAGAAAAAAATAGATAAATTCAAAATAAATTATGAAAATTGATAAAAAAATTCAAAATTTAGAACAAAAAGTTTAGGAAAATTAAAAAAAAAAATCGAGAAAAGTCAAAAATTAACAAATCCAAAAAAATATTATAAAACTATCTTTTTCTGTAGTCACATGTCAAAAACTATAAAAAAACTAGTGAATCTATGATGGTGATGGTGATATTTTATGAAAATAAATTTTATAATTGGTGTTATATTTAAAACCATTGATATCTCATAAACTCTTCACAAATTTGTTAATTTTTAAAAATTCTGACATGTGATAGGACTTTTAAGTTTTTCTTTTCAAATTTTTAATTTTTCTAATTTTTGAATTATTATTATTTTTAAATGAATATCAATTTTAAGTTTATTTTTCGTTTTTCGTTTTTCAAATTTTTTGATTTATTTAGAACTTTATAATTTTTTATTTTTTATTTTGTCTTAATTAGTTAAGATAATTTAAATTATATTAAAAAAAACTGCATGGTCACTTA